CGATCCGGGTAATTATAATTGGTTGCTACGGGTAACTGTAACTGGTCGTTTCAGATAACTATATTAATTGGTCGGTTCAAATAATTGCAATTGGTTCGGATAACTATAACGGGTCGGTACAGATAATTGTAATTGGTCAATCCAGGTAACTATAACTGGTCCATACGAGTAACTGTAACTGGTCGATCCGGGTAATTATAACTGGTCGATCTGAGTAATTGTACGTAATTGGTCAATCTGGGTAATTGTAACTAGTAGATTCGGGTAACTATAACTGATCAGGTTGGGTAAATGAAATTGATTTATTTGATTAATTGTAAGTAGTCGGGTCAGATAACTGTAAGTCTGTAACTGGTCAAATGAGTAACTATAACTAATCGGGCGTGGTAATAGTAAGACATACACTAACGGTAAATTGGGAGTGTAAAAAAGTCAACATCTCTTTTATTGGTGTCCTTACCACACCAATTCATTCCCATTATATAATACAGTATTTATTTGAAAGATCGAAGGATGTAGTCTATCTTATGTCATTTTCCTTGTTTATGCAGATAATGTATGTTATTTGAATTTTTTTATTTAGAATTAGTTGGTTCAATTTAAATAATTAAAACTAATAAATTAGTGAGGTTGTTAATGAATTAACAGTATATTTAACTATAAACGTAGTGATGTCATAAAATTAGTTAAATTTTTAGGTTTATAAAATAATTTAATTTAAATTAGTTAGCTAAACGTAGGTTTAAACGTAGCGATGCATTAAGTTAAATTAAGTAAAAATAGTTAGCTAAACGTAGGTTTAAATTGCATTAAGTTAAATTAAGTAAAATTAGTTAGCTAAACGTAGGTTTTAACTAATTAAGTTAAAATAATTATTAAATTAGTTAAACTTTTGATAAAATTAGTTAAATTTTAATATTAGTTAATTGAAATGTGTGTAAAAAAGGTTGTTAATTAATTAACGAAATGAATTAGTTAAAATTAGTTAAACGTAGGATTAATTTAAATGTAGTGTTAAATTACTTAAATTTTTTTTAATATTAGTTGTCACGCCCCAGACCGCAATCTAAGCGCGTGTACAACCGCCGTATAATCAAGCAACGTCACCCGCGAGTCAACCTCACTTAATCATACAAGGCGTTCGAGAAAATAATTCATCCATACTCAGTAGTAACATACGTAACAACATCACAATCAGACCATTGAATAGCGGAAATATTCAACGGTAATTCATAGTCACATTCGGCCAACAACATGGGCAAGCAAGCCCCAGAAGTAGTTTATGATAACTAAAAAATAAAAAATATCCATGAGCAAGTGTCCGGCAGTTTGAAAGAAAATAAGGAAGCACGAACCACGTCTTCTTGAGTTGATATCACCCATAAGTAGCAATCCCTAGCTTCAACCTAAAAATGGTGCCCCCCTCCGAAGGGGTCCGTACAAGTACCGAGCGAGTAGCAGGCTGAATATAGAATAACTAGTGTTTCAAGCAGTGTTCTAAAACACTTCAAAAGGCGCCGCGTAGGCGGGTGTAAGCGTGAAGCGCCGACCAAACGCCTCGCACACCTGATAGGCGCTGCAAAAGGCGTTCCTTTCAACTAAACCCCCCAAAACTTGGAGTCCCAACACCCGTTCTTGACTCAGAAGGCTATTTAATTTTCTTAGGAAGCGAAGACTTATTTATAGAGCCTCGTAAATAGGAATTCTCCTCTTATTTCCGGTGTGGGACGAACTCAAATACGCTGGATAAGAAAAGGTTTTCAACTTTCGATGTGGTTCCACTTATACGGCTCCAGGTTTTCTACAACTAACACACCCACTTATTGAACTTTGTTGTCATTTGTAAAAATATTTTTATAAATACGCTAAACAAGTAAACAACCACTAATTTTTATTATTAATACTATATTACTCCGTATTAATTATCACCATTATCATCAATGTCCTTTTTGTAATCATCATATTATTATTTTATATAAGGAAAATCGAACTTTTACTCACTGAAATAGTCACCATATTGAAATGTCAGACTCGTATTTTTGAGATTGAAAATGTCACCCCTTAATTGTTCAAATAGCTGTAAGTGTGACTCGGGTGAAGTGTACTTCTCGTCAACATTGTACATTTCACTCCTCAAAAGACCATATTTACAACAATTTGGACAATTGAGGGGTGACATTTACACTCAGAAATATGGGTCTAACATTTCAAAATAGTGACTATTTCAGGGACTAAAAGCGTTTTTTTCTCTTTTACATACAATTGTTTTATTCAATTCTAATTTAATGTAATAGGTTAATTTGTACTTGTGAGATTTGTAACTCTGGTGTTGATAATTTGAAAAGTATGATGTTCTTGCATGAAATTACTTTTGTTTGAATAGAGCGCTGATTATAAGAAAATTAAAATTATGTAGTTAGTATTTAATTGGTAAAATGTGAAAATGAAAATAAGAAGGAAAAATTGACAAGAATATTCCCACCTTTCACTGGTATTCTCATAATAATCCCACATTTACGTAATCTAAGAATAATCCCACATTTGCACCTCATCTTCTTTTATTGGAACCTAACCTATTGATGACCTACAAATGCGGGATTATTTATATAAGATTTTCAAAAAAAGGGTCCAATGAAAGAAGATGTAGTGCAAATGTGGGATTATTCCGGGATTATGTAAAGGTGAGATTATTATGAGAAGACCAGTGAAAGGTGGAATTATTCTTATCAATTTTTCCAAATAAGAATGAATTAGAACTACAGAAATATCACCAAATATGAAGTATTGTCTAGTACATCCATATTAAATTTACACATCTAAAAATAAATCTAGAAAAATTTTAAAAAAGGGGTAAAAATTGAAACGCCTTTTCACGCCTTTGCCTCGCTTAAACCCGCCTAGGCTTCAAAGGCTTAAAGCTTGAGCGTGCCGCCTTGACACGCCTTACGCCTTTTAGAACATTGGTTTCAAGTATAAGATCCAAACATAGGGTAATACTTATATAAATAGTCTTTCTCCCCAAGTTAAGGAATACTTATTAGTATATATACACTTGGAAAATACCCGATCCATGGATCACTGTTTTGTTTGGGAAAATGAGCAGCCATTGTGGCAGTGTGGGTCTGATGATGGATTTGAAAGCATTCTGCTTGGCGGTTTTTATTAACTATTCTTTTGGACTAATTAACTGCAAACCAATTGGTTTGATGTTAACACCAGATGATGAAATATTGACAGAGAACTCTGTTTATGTAAATTTGATCGATTGCATTATCAGTTTGATTATATGAATTCTTTACATCGATTCATTAGCTCTGCATACGGATTATTGATTATCTTACACTACAAGCACTTGTCATAGACTCATAATATCTCGGGAAAATGGAAACTAATAATCCAACCTTTTAGCGGTCTTCTTTCAATAATCCCACCTTTTGATTATTCATGAATAATCCAACTTTTGCACCTCATCTTCATTCATTGGTCCCTGGTAGGTTAATGACCTACTATTCCAAGTTATTTTTTTATCTTTCCAAAATATTATCTTCGTGAAAGATGAGATTTATGGTATAATGATTTGCAAAGATAAGAAAATAGCTTGGAATAGCAGGTCATCACCCGGTCAGGGACCAGTGAATGAAGATGAGGTGCAAAGGTTGGATTATTCATGAATAATCAAAAGGTGGTATTATTGAAAGAAGACCGCTAAAAGGTTGGATTATTAGTTTCCATTTTCCCTAATATCTCGGTTCTTGAGTTTCTATAATCACATTCTTACATAGGACATTTGACCACTATTTCTATCTAATTTGTCGTATTTGTCAAATTTTTTTTTTACTAATTGTATATATTTTAATTTTGCGCTCTAAACTGATGTTTTAACCTTGATTGAAATTTACGTTGTCTGGTCTGGTCTGTTTAACTCTGATTTGATCTGGTTGGTCTGAACTGAGCTGATCTGATAAACGTCTGGTCATTATGTATTTTGTAACTATACAAATTTAGTCTGATCTAGTCCGTTTAAGTCTAGTTTGGGATTGAAAATAGTCTAACTAAAAACTATTGCAAATAATCATTTTAGAATCGTCTACAAACTAATCATACTCTTGTCTTTGAAAATAAGAATTTAGATCTAGGTGAAGAAAATTGAGAACATCTAAAAAATGATTCAAAAAATATATGAAATGAAAAGAGTAATGAAAATAAATCTTATATAATATTAGATAGTGATAGAGTATATGGGCCTGGACCCCATGGCCCACATACTCAAGTCAACGATGACCGGAAGAACACCCACGTGGCCCCCTTCGGCCAGTGGGTCCGCATCGGCCAGAAACTTAACCGGCCCAGGAAGCACGCATGGACTCCCGGGACCGCATCGGCCCATGGACCGCATCGGCCATGAGACCGCATCGGCCAAAAGGCACCGCATCGGCCCGACTCCGTCCGGGCAGAATGCATCTCTCTACTTTATTTACTAAGTATTGTACACGGCCCATTAGTGGCCCTATTTCGCCCAAAGAAGGCATGATTATTGTAATGGGCCTCCTAAGCCCATGGCTAGGAGCCCAAATCCACATTTTTACCTATAAATAGACCCCTTGGGGCTAGTTATAGGGGGTTGAGAAATATAATTACTCACTTTCTCTCTCTAGCTCTCACTTCTCTCTAGAATTATACTCTATCAGATAGAAATCACTCAATCAGGTCAATCGATTGAAATTGAAGTTGTTGAATGTCCTGAATTGGCTTAAATATGGAAACATTATATTTATAATTCATTTTATTAATAAAATTAAGACAAAATTATATTTTTTTATGAAGAAATCGACTTACTTTGATGACATATAATTCAGAGTATGAGTCAAATGACAAAAAGAAATCTCACAACCGTTATCTTGCGAACCAAACTCGGAATTAATCACCGAAGTAATATAATTCTATTGAGTTTAATCCAACATGATATAGTAAATATATATGTATAAATGTGTATGAACAAGCTCAGTTTTTACGTGGAAACCCGAAATGGAGAAAACCACGGGACTTTTTAGGCTAATATCCAAGCCCTCTATTTCTTATTAAGACTCTCCTCACATTACATTGTACAAGTTCCCATTAATGGAGTATTGAAGGTAGCTCTAAAATGGGGAGGAAGAAGAAGCTAAAAAAGGGATCCATAATATGGAGGGAAACTCCCATATTTAATTTATAGAGAACAGGGGAAGGGGATGCTCTCCAGCCTAATGGGCCGCATGGCCGGAGTGGGCCCAAATGGCTAAACTGGGCCGAATGGGCCGAAATGGGCCTAGTTGCTCGGGCTCCGTACTGAGTAATGTCTTGGGCTCCTGAACAGTAATAGGCCGGGATAATATATCCCAACAAATTCGTTGATCCATAAATGGGAACCCTAAAGCCATAAACGGACACCATATTCCTCTCATCCCCCATATTCAAATCCAACATCTTACAATCAGGAATACCAAAACAGAAACAAAAAGCAAAACTGAAATAAACATTACTAGAATACCAAACAAAAAAAGTAAAAGTCTTCCTTCGCAGCCAGCAAACGAAAACAGTCCCTCGGACCTGCGGCCTCCATGCATCCGTTAGCAACTTCGGCGGGCTTAAAGAGCAAAGCCCGCCTCCTCCCCGTTTTTTGCCCCGTCTAAAGTCATGTTGTCGTCTTCTTGTATCTTTTCTGTCCGAGCCTCCCAAATTTTCCTTCTCTTTGATACCTCTTCCTTCAACTCCTCCCCGCCTCCTTGGGTAATACTCTGAGCTGATTCAGTCATTGCATCTTTCTCTTTTTCACCTGGCTTCACTTCCAATTTATAAAACCTTGTATAGCCACCCGTTTTGCCAGAGCGCAGCTCGATGAACCCTCCGGATCCAGGAGCCATTTATTACCTCTTGTTGGGCTGGTCTTCACCCCGCTTCCATCTGTAAGATGGAGTCCATACCTTTTTTTTCTAAAACTAAGCCTTCTTCATAATTAAGAGGGCAAAAATTATCTGAATGTCCAATGAACCCACAGATAAAACAAAAGTTGGGCAGTCTTTCATATTTGAAATCTACCCAAAAACTTTTGTCATCCTTTTTCAGATTTGTCCCCTTTTTCAGCGCCTTATCCACCTTCATAAGAACCCTAACCCGCATATATGGCTCTAATTTATCACTCTTCTGGTTATCATCATATTTAATAAACTCTCCTACAAAATTTCCCACACGCCTGGTAGTTCTCAGGTTAACAAGACTATAATGGAAGATTGTGAATCTGAAGCCAACACTCAGTCTCATTTAAAATTATTTTGTGTGGGATATCATCAGGCATGCCTTCTTTTAGCATCAAAAGACTACGCTCAAACTGCCATGACCCTCCCTCAAGCACACACATCATATCAAAACGATGAGAAAAAAATAGACAGATACCTTTTTTCCCCGATTTCCTTAACCTCCATCCCCTTCCCCGACCTCCACAAAGACATCATTATATCTTTAAGGCCCGAAAATTTTACCTTCCCGTCGGTTAAAACCTGCCTGATCACCGGGAACCCATTAGGCCCTGACTCCATTGGAACATTCTTGCCGCCAATATCATCAAGGTTAAGCTCCTCTTCGTCTTCACCTATTGCCATCTTCTTATAGCTATCAACAACAGCTTCCGTGCGCAAACCTGCTCCGTCGCCTTGATGTGCCTCTGGAATCGATCGATGCTCACTACCGCTCCGCTTGCCCAGCGTCTGGATAAATACACTAGCCACCTCCCCTTCCACCAATAACCCGACCTGTCACCACCTTAAACCACCTATCCGTCCAAACCTATTGCCGCTACAATCCAACCAATCCACACGCCCTTCGGAATTAATGAAGGCGGACACAACTAGGAGTTGCGTGAGGCAACCCTAGAGAGAGAGAGAGAGAGGCAATTTATGAAATGCAAATTAATCATAAGATAAAGTTATATTAAAATAGCTATAATGGTAATCTTTATTAAGTTCATCCAATTCTCTCAAAAAACAATTTCAACTTCATTTATTTTGACTATTATACAATTCTGTATGCAAAATAAAATGTTTTTTTTAAAATAAAAATAGATTGACAAAACTGATATGTTCAAAATATAAATAAGACTCCTTCATTGGGTGATGGGAGCCTGTTTTAACCATCGTTGGCTCATTTATACTAATTATCGGATATGCAAGTTATATTGTTTTTTTGTAGCTGATTGACTCTAAGAAGGGCGCTTAATTGGTTCGGTTTGACCGAATCGAACTGTACCAAACTAAACTACATCGAACCCGAATTACATGCGATTCAGTTTGAGTTTGGTAGCATTTTTCCAACCTACAGTAAATCAAATTGACCGAAATATTAAAAAAAAATCGAACCAACTTAAATTATTCAAAAAACTCTTCACGTATTTTTTTAAAAATAATAAATCCAAACCGAACCAAATTCGAATGAACCAAATCAAAACATAGTAAGCAGTGGAGTATGATTTTTCTTGGTGGTCATTCTTCCTAGCAATTTCAAATCGAACAGAATAAAAAATCAATAAAAACAAACCGAAACTTAATAACCCATGAAAAAACCTTTAACTTGATCCAGCCGAGTAAATTTTTTGGAAACATTTTTGTCTTTAGGTGAAGCTTGGATGTCCGAAACGAGTACGTATATTATACAACCAGTACGTATATTATACAACCGGTTGTACGGTGGGTACCGTACAGCCGGCCCAGTAAGAGGCTTAAGGGAAAAATAACAAAATAATTCGGTGGCATATTTGTAATAATGTGAAAATCGCAGTTTCTGTTTAATGAGCATTAATGTACTTTTAATGAGCAATAGTCCAATTTTAATGAGTATTAAGTGTCCAACAATGAGCTCCGTGTTATTACAGGAAAGCTGATATCACAATTAAAAAACGGTGACATTTTCGTTATTTCAGTGAAAATTACGGTTTTCGTTAGATGAGCATTAATACACTTTTAATGAGCATCAGACGTGTTCTACTGAGCACTAAGAGTCAAATAATGAGTATTGTGATATCAACTTCATATATTATAATTCACTTTCTTTTCCTTATTTTTTCTTTTATAAAAACTCATTAAATTATATCTATAATCAATTCCTCTGAATTTCAATATGCGATTCTAATGTAATATGGTACTTTTGAAATATGCAATGTTATGACATTTTAAAAATGAGCACATCCGTACCAACTGAGCACACGTAACATATAAATGAGCATTGATATGAAAATTGTAAGTTTTGTTAGTTGAGCATCAAACACCCTCTATTGAGTATTCGGATCATGCAATTGAGTATAATGATATGTGCTCTCAGGTCTATAATTTAATCCTATTATGATCATTTCGGTCTATTGAGTATTCGGATATTCAATGAGCATAACACCCATACAAAATGATTTTACATTACTTACCAAATGAGCAATGATATGAAAATCATAAGTTTTGTTAGTTGAGCATAATGACATTTTCATTGTACATCAAAACTCCTTTATTGAGTAGTATAAGCATGCAATTGAATATCATGATCTCTACTCTCGTGTCTATAATCAACTCTCATGCGAATTTCAGATCGATGCATAGATATAACATTTTAAAATGAGCATAATATTAGTTCAAAATGAGCATATATTTTTTAATGCACAGACAAATCCGTGACTATTTTTTTTAATCCATGAGAAACTAGTCACAGACGACCGAATCCGTGACTAAAATCCGTGACTACAGGCCTGTTTTTTTGTAGTGTTGCCAGTAGCATTTTTCCAACCTGCAATAAATCAAATTGACCGAAACTTTGAAATATCTAAACAATCGAACCAGCCTAAATTATTCAAAAACTCTTCACGTATTTTTAAAAAATAATAAATCCAAACCGAACCGAATTCGAATGAACCAAATGAAAACATAGTAAGTAGTATGATTTTTCTTGGTGGTCATTCTTCCTAGCAATTTCAAATCGAACAGAATAAAAAATCAATGAAAAACAGCCTTAAAAAAACATCAATGAAAACAAACCGAAACTTAATAACCCATTAAAAACCCTTTAACTTGATCCAGCCGAGTAAATTTTGGAAACATTTTAGTCTTTAGGTGAAGCTTGGATGTCCGAAAATACACCACTCCAAGTAATTGCAGTTATAATTTAATGTGGCAATTAATTACAAATAATGAAATCAAGAGAGGATCACAGGAGTGAGAAATACCTAATTAACCAACTCTACGCCGCCTGAAGATAGCGTATATATAGAAATACAAGACCTCTGGCGCAGTCACTGAAGCTCATCACAATCATCAATGGCGGACAAAGAGAAGAAATCTGCGGACAGACTTAAGAGGGTGCGTTATGAGAACAGAAAAGCGAGCATCATGAAACAAGGCAGAGAGTTATCCACACTCTGCGGCGTGAAGCTCTGCCTCATGATCGTCTCCCCAGACGGAAAGGTGGAAACCTGGCCTGAGAATCGGGATGACGTCAAGGCCATTCTCGGCGCCGCCAATGCAGCGCCCGGAAAGAAGGTTGTCGCCGCCGTCTCCGAACCCAATTCATCTGATTCTGATCAGCCGGCTATGAAAGACTGCCGCCCAAGAAAGCGGAGCCGAGATCCCCCGCTGCAGATGATGGGTGTTCCGGACAAGGAGACAGAGACAACGATGACTACTAATGATTCCACTAATTACAACGTTAACGGGTTTGGATCGATACCCATGTTGGATAATACCTGGAATCTAGGAGATGGCAGTTTTACTGCTGGTATTAGTGACTATAGTCATTATTTTGAGAAGAATCTGTGTCATGAAGATCCTGTTTTCTGTGGAGGATCTTATGAGTTGCCACAATATGGGAAGAGTAAAGGAAGTGATTATTATGATCTGCAGATTCATGATCCTTCTTTCTTCTGTTTGGATTATGACAAAGATTTTGGAGGACACTTATGGGGTACCGGAGATCCTTTCGAGTGGAATGGTTACAAGTCTGATGTAACACCGTCCCCAAGTGTATTTACTTTTAAGTGAATATTGTATTTTAACCTTATGGAATGGTTGACGAATTTACGAGGTTATGAATTTTTATTAATTTTGCCTGAATAATAAGTTCGCGCGTGGGGCCCGCACCGGGAGCGGGGGCCGCCCGATATTCCCGGGACCACATAAATTATTCATCTTGGTCTAGATAATATTTATATGGTGGTGGATAATTCTTTTGAACCATGGAAAGGTCTTGAGTTGACCGATTGGTCAAAAGAGGCCCAAATACCGGTATTGGCAATTTAACGGATAATAGCCCGAAATTGAATTTCGGAGACCTATAAATTAAAGTTGGGGAATGTATATTCACTATGAGAGTCATAATGATTGAGAACACATAATATATTTTATTTGACCCGATAAAATAAAATATATTTAAAACAGTCCGAAAAATACAACTTTCGGGACCAATTGTACACTTCGGAACAAAAGGGGTTGACCTCCCACATGTGTGGGGGCCAACCCACGAATTTTTCCATACAAAGGACAAGAGGTGGGCGGCTGGAAGGGAAAGGAGGAGGTGGGAGGTGTTGGGATTGATTAAGAAAGCATCAAAGGTACATTAATTGGACCCCCCATCCTTACTCATTGTATCAAAGAGACAAAAACCAACCTTCACCCACTCCCCCTCATTTTCCTGCGGCCTGCACCCTCCAAGCTAGAGCAAAGAAGTCCTCCATCTCCATTGTTGAAGAAAGCTCAACAAGGAAAGATCCCAAGAAAAGGAATTTAAGTGCTAAAAGTGTGAAGGTTAAGGTAATAACCTTATCATAACTTTTTCTATATGTTTCCCTTCAATCTTATGAGATATATATCATATGGAGGATCCTTGGGATTGTTCTACATGAAAAGAGTGTAGAATGATGGGTTGGAAAGTGGTTCTAAGTCCAAAAACGGATTTAGAAGTCAAAACGACCGGTTCACCGGAAAATAACCTTTTGGGGTTATTTGTATTGATTAAGGTTTTATGATGTTAAAACCTTGTTAGGAACTTGATTAAAGTATCTTTGAGCTTCGCCGGAGTTTCGCCGGAGTTGGTCAAAGTTGGCCGGAGTTGGTCAAAGTTCACCGGAAATAGTCAAAGTTCAACCGCGGAGCGTAGAACACGCTTAAGCTCACTTAAGGTGAGGATGACCGACTATATTGCTTATAATTATTGGGTTAATTTCATAAGATTACCTAAATGAATTATATGTGTTTGGCATGATTTATTTATAATATAACAAAATGCCTAAATGAGATTATTATTGTTTATAAGTAAAAGTGCATAATATACAAATTTATGAATAAATTGTGTATGATTATGTATTATGAATAAAATGGTATAATAGCGTGCAAACTATAAATGAATTGTGATAAATATACTTTTACCTCATGTAAGGAAGTCATGGAAGGATAAAAGTGATATTTTGATATTAGAACCAAGCTATACTTGAATGTGGAATTAAATTGAAATAGCCAAATTACTATGAAATTGCATTGGCTTATTAAGGTTAAATGACTAGTATAGAAATACTAGCCGGGGATGTTAGCATGAAAAGTGATAGAACAAATCCTAGGGGTTTGGATTGTGAATGATGTACCTTAAGTAGTCATATGAAATGTCTTAAGGTAGAAATGAGTAAACGCTAAGTTACCGTAGGAGTGGATCATGAAGGTTACTCATAGTAGAGGAACTCTAGGCATAGAGATTGCTTAGTGAATTAGTATCGTGACTAGAGGAAGCCTCGAGCACGATGAAGAATGACTGGAGGAAGCCTCCAGCATTCGTGTAGGACGACTAGAGGAAGCCTCTAGCGTAACGTAATGTGACTGGAGGAAGCCTCCAGCACAACGTATGTAAGGTGATTAGAGGAAGCCTCTAACACCAAGTGGAGTGACTAGAGTCAGCCTCTAGCACGACAAAACATGACTAGAGGAAGCCTCTAGCATGGTAAACTAATATAGATGGGTGTGGCTTGAAGTCACGGGGAAAGGGTTAAATGTTTCCAAAGTAAACATGGGCCTTCGGGCGATTACTTGACTATATATATAAAGTAAGTATACTTTCAAAAGAGGATAACCACGGGTTATGACCTATAATATAATAACATCCTAGATTGAGGGTCTTGGAAATTGAAACTTTGATTATACTTAGTATAGTTGTCATTGTACTTGTCAAATGCTTCCAAGTACTGACCTCCCCTTCACGGGGGAGGCCACCTCACAGTTTCAGGTAGAACTTGAAGGGTGCTACCATCACCGTTGCTTCGGGCGGATTATCAAGGAGAGGAGACGGGGTTCGTGCTTCCTCCGTTTCTGTTTTAAAACATTCAAATTAATGCTCATGGATACTATTTTCCGAATAATTATTTAGGGCTTGCACGCCCGTGTTTGCCACGTGTGGCTCGAATGCTTGTATTAATATTTCCGCTGCTTAATTAAATGATTTACATTGTGATTGTTTATGGATGTACTAATGTGAATGGTATTCAAGACGCCTTGTATAGTATGGATGAGTTGGACTGCGGTTGACTATTCGTACTGTACGGCAGGTTGTTGACGTGTCCGGGAAGGTCCGGGGCGTGACAATTTAATTGGTATCAGAGCCTTAGTCCGTAAACTTCATAATGAAGCTTCAAAATCCCTTTTGAAAATGATTTTGATAACCATGAGCATAAAAGTTTTGCACTTATAGAACTTTTGGTACTTGAGTTGCAAAGTCTCTAATTGTTAAGATGGTACCCTTAACAATTGGTATGACGGTGATTTGAGCCAAAAGATGTCTTTAAGTGCCTATCCGTCACTTGACATTTGATACGGGTCTAATGACTCCTTCTCTATCTCTTTCAGAAATGGAACGCACCGGTAAAGTCACCCGACGAAACCCGACTGGCCAGGCGCCGGGAAGGTCCCAACATGGCAGTCGAGGGGCATCAAGGGTGTCTCGGGGGCAGGGCCGTGCAGGCCACTCGCTGACCGTTAGTGACGGTCATGTTGAAACAATTGACGAGCATTATGAGTCCGAGGAGGATTCAACGTACCGACCGGGAATGGAGCCGGTTGAAACCCCATATGATGGGGAAGATGATGACATTAGCGAGGGGAGCGACGATAACGACGCTCTAGAAAGGATTGAGGAATTGCTCCGGCAATATCATCAAGATCGCCAAAGGCGCCGGGCAAGGCGTGCTTCGAGGGGGGCTTCGAGGAGAGGGAGCCGTGTGAGTCCTAGGGGAAGCATAGAACCCCAAGGAGGGCGAGGTGCCGAGGTTCCTATCATAAGAATCTCGAAGTACCTAAAGGAGGCGAGAGACTTGGGATGTAAACCGTTTGATGGAACGGGAGACATCTCCGTGGCGGCCGAGTGGATCAAGAGATTCAATGAAGCGGCCCTGGATATGCAGCTGCCACCGAACATGAAGTTGAGAGTGGCCACAAGACTACTAGAAGGCATGGCGTCCACATGGTGGGACGGAGCTAAAGGGAAGTACGGCGAGGCCGTCACCTGGGAGAATTTCCGACAAGAATTCTTTAGCCAATACTACTCCGACTTTGAAGTGAATTTAAAGAGGAGGGAGTACACAACCTTAATCCAAGGAGGTGAGTGCACAGTGAAGGAGCTTGAGCACAAGTTCAGAAAACTTGCTGAGTTCATACCGGAATACATTTGTGATGAGAACCGGATGGTGAACCACTTCTGGAACGCCTTGGACCTTGATATACGTGAGAGGGCAACACAATTGCCTAATATGACGTTTAGCCAAGTGGTCGAACAAGGCTTGAAGGGGGAGAAGGAATGGGAGGAAAGGAAGCGAAGAAATGCCGAGGAGGCAAAGAAAAGAAAATGGGAGAACCATGGCCCCCAGGGTTCAAACAAGAAGGGGAATCACGGGGGAGGAGGATCCTTCAGGGCACCCGCACCACCATCAAGGGGGAATCCCAACATGAGTGGGCAGAACTCGGGATCACAAGCCCCGACGAAGCCTAAGTGCAGGAATTGCAAGAGAAATCACGAGGGCAAATGTCGTGATCCCCCACGGTGCTACCAATGCGGAGATACGGGGCACATAAAGCCCAATTGCCCTCAACTTGGTGGGAACCGGTCATCAGGGCCAAGCAGTGCAACCATGGTGAGTAGAAACCGGGGTGGGGCACCCAATGCAGGCACAAACCACGGCGGGGCAAGTACAAGCAACGCACCCTCCGTGAACCAAGGAAGGGCTCAAGCGAGAGTCTACGCGATGACCGAGGCGGATGCGCGAGCAAACCCGGACTCCGTTGCAGGTAATACACGTATTCCCATGTATTTCTAGGCTTAGTTTGATCATATACACCGTTGGGGGTTGAGTTCGGGCCACCCCGGGACCAAACGGAGCGAAATTGGGCGAAATTGGGCGAAATCGGGCTGATTTCTGCCAACGCACTACAGGCTGGGCTGCACGCACGGCCGTGCGTTGTCCGTGCGTACCTCCGTGCGTTGGTGGCAGTAGCACCCCGGAGGAAATTCGCTGCACGCCCGGCCGTGCGTTGTCCGTGCGTACCTCCGTGCGTTGGTGGCAGTAGCACCCCGGAGGAAATTCGCTGCACGCCCGGCCGTGCGTTGCCCGTGCGTCCCTCCGTGCGTTGGGGGCAGTAGCCTCCATTGGTAAAACAAGGTACGCACGACCGTGCGTACCCCCTACGCACGCCGTGCGTGGACCCCTGGCACCTGAAACTTTATTTTTTCGCCCCGTTCTTCTACGTTTGGACCCCCGTTTGATCCCAAACATTAGTATGAACATAATAACATCTTAATGATGTGTAAAAACATTAGAAAATGTATCTTACATGGTGTATGGATGTAGGAACATTAAAGATTAATGGGAGATGTGCGAGAATCCTCATCGATACTGGGGCGCAACGATCATTTGTGAGTGAGGCATTCGCCGGGGGATTCAACGTACCCCTGATACCGATGGCTCAAGCCCTATTGGTATCCACACCCCTAGGGGAAGACATCGAGAGAGATAGCCACTATCCATCGTGTGAGGTGGAAGTGGAGGGCCAAAACTTGTCGTGTGATTTCGTGCCGCTGAGTATGATTGAGTTCGATGCAATCCTGGGTATGGATTGGCTTGAGAAGCATCATGCTAGGGTCGATTGTTACACGAAAGTACTTGAACTCGAAGGCAATGAAGGGGTAACCTTACGCTTCGAGGGGGATAGGGCAAAATCCAATAGTTGTATCATATCCGCTGTGAGGGCTAAGAATATGATGAGGAAGGGGTGTCATGCATATCTAGCATATGTGGTGGACAAAACCAAAGAAGAGACGAGCATTGATGAAGTTAGGGTAGTATGCAAGTATCCGGACGTCTTTCCTAAAGACTTACCGGGACTTCCACCCGATAGGGAGATTGAGTTCGTGATCGAGGTCGAGCCCGGCACCAAACCAATCTCCATACCGCCATACCGTATGGCACCCGCTGAACTTAACGAGTTAAAAACCCAATTGCAAGAGCTTTTGGATAACGGTTTCATCAGACCAAGCCACTCCCCATGGGGAGCACCGGTCCTTTTTGTGAAAAAGAAGGATGGAACACTTCGAATGTGCATTGACTATCGTCAACTGAACAAGGTCACAATCAAGAATAGGTATCCCTTGCCTAGGATTGATGACTTGTTTGATCAACTACGAGGAGCAACCGTGTTTTCAAAGATTGACTTGAGGTCGGGGTACCATCAACTGAAGATTAAGGAGGATGACATACCGAAGAGTGCTTTCCGCACGAGGTATGGGCATTTTGAGTTCCTTGTTATGTCGTTTGGGTTAACAAACGCCCCGGCGGCATTCATGGACTTGATGAACCGAGTATTTCACAAATACTTGGACCGATTCGTGATTGTGTTCATTGATGACATCTTGATCTACTCAAAGAGTGAGGAAGAGCATGAGGAGCACTTGATACTCGTTCTTGAGACACTACGGGAGAAGCAACTCTATGCCAAATTTTCTAAATGTGAATTTTGGCTTAAGGAGATTGGCTTTCTCGGGCACGTGGTTTCGGGATCGGGAATTGCTGTCGACAACAAGAAGATAGAAGCCATCACCGAATGGGAGAGGCCAAAGAACGTCAAGGAAATTCGTAGTTTCCTTGGATTGGCAGGGTACTATAGAAAGTTCGTGGAAAAGTTCTCTGTTTTGGCATCACCGTTGACAAAGCTCACTCGAAAAGGAGCTAAGTTTGTATGGGATGACAAGTGTGAGAAAGGATTCACTGAACTGAAGAAGAGATTAACCGAGGCACCGGTACTTGCATTACCCAAACAGGGTATGGGGTACGATGTCTATAGTGACGCGAGCATCCAAGGGCTTGGATGTGTGTTAATGCAGGAGGGGAGGGTAATTGCCTATGCTTCACGACAGTTGAAGAAGCATGAGGTAAATTACCCCACCCATGATCTAGAGTTGGGAGCAGTGGTGTTCGCACTGAAGATTTGGAGACATTATCTCTACGGAGAGACATGTCACATATACACTGACCATAAGAGCTTGAAGTACGTGTTTACTCAAAAAGAGTTAAACATGAGGCAGAGACGGTGGATGGAGTTGATAAAGGACTACCACCTAGTGATTGAGTACCATCCAGGCAAGGCAAATGTAGTGGCAGATGCTTTGAGCCGGAAGAGCTCAACTGGGGCATTGATAGCTAATTTGAGGGCATTAAGAGCCCAACTGGAGGTGTCCAGTAATGGTGCCTTATTGGCACGGTTTGAGGTGAGACCTACTTTGCTTGATGAGATCAAGAAGGGTCAGGAAACTGACGATGAAATTGTGAAGATCAGGGAACGCTTGCAAGCGGGACCGGTGGAGGACTTCAGAGAAAGAGACGACGGTCTTTTACTATTTCGTGACCGAGTGTGTGTGCCGGCGGATGATGAGCTCCGAAAGTCCATCTTAGAGGAAGCTCATTCATCGGCTTATGCCATGCACCCGGGGGGCACGAAGATGTATCGCGATTTGAAAGAAAGTTACTGGTGGTCCGGTATGAAGAGAGAGATAGCCGAGTACATCAGTCGGTGCCTTACTTGTCAGCAAGTCAAGGCAGAGCATCAGCATCCAGCTGGGTTATTACAGCCACTTTCCATTCCAGAATGGAAGTGGGAGCATGTGACTATGGATTTCGTGGTGGGGTTGCCACGGACCGTGAACAACTATGATGCGGTATGGGTAGTAGTTGATAGGCTCACCAAGAGTGCTCACTTTTTGCCTATTAACATCACTTACCCTCTTGAAAGGTTGGCGAAGCTATACACGGAGGAGATTGTGAGATTACATGGAGTCCCAATATCCATTGTCTCGGATAGGGATCCACGATTCACATCCCGATTTTGGCCAAAGTTTCAAGCATCTCTGGGGACTAAACTGAAGTTTAGCACAGCTTTTCACCCACAGACGGATGGACAGTCCGAGCGGGTGATACAGATTCTGGAAGACATGCTTAGGGCATGTGCTTTGGAGTTCCAAGGAAGTTGGGACAAACATTTGGCCCTAGTGGAGTTTGCCTATAACAACAGTTATCAGGCAAGTATTGGCATGCCTCCATACGAGGCATTGTATGGGAGGAAGTGCAGAACACCGTTGTGTTGGGACGAGGTTGGCGAGGCCAAGCTCGAGGGGATTGAACTTGTTGAAATCACCAAGACTAAAGTGAAAGTCATTCAGGATAGACTCAAGACTGCCCAAGATCGGCAGAAGAGCTATGCCGACAAACGACGCAGGCCATTGGAGTTCGAGGTCGGTGATAAGGTCTTCCTAAGAATTTCTCCTTGGAAGGGTATCATCCGATTTTTATCGAGGGGAAAACTCAACCCCCGATACATTGGTCCGTTTGAAATCCTTGAAAGGATTGGGGCGGTGGCTTACCGTCTCAAGCTGACGCCGGAACTTGAGAAGATACACGACGTGTTTCATGTATCGATGCTCAAGAAATACGTGAGAGATCCATCTCATATTCTTGAGAAGCCACCGGTGGAGATACGTGAAGATCTACAATATGCAGTGGAACCGGTAAAGGTTGTGGGTCAACAGGTGAAGAAATTGAGGAACAAGGAGATTCCTATGGTAAAAGTCCTTTGGATGAGTGATCGGGTCGAGGAAGAAACATGGGAGACTGAGGTTTCAATGAGAGAGCAATACCCTTTTCTCTTCGATTAGACACGTGGATTTCGGGGACGAAATCCCAAATAAGGGGGGGGTGAACTTGTAACACCGTCCCCAAGTGTATTTACTTTTAAGTGAATATTGTATTTTAACCTTATGGAATGGTTGACGAATTTACGAGGTTATGAATTTTTATTAATTTTGCTTGAATAATAAGTTCGCGCGTGGGGCCCGCACCGGGAGCGGGGGCCGCCCGATATTCCCGGGACCACATAAATTATTCATCTTGGTCTAGATAATATTTATATGGTGGTGGATAATTCTTTTGAACCATGGAAAGGTCTTGAGTTGACCGATTGGTCAAAAGAGGCCCAAATACCGGTATTGGCAATTTAACGGATAATAGCCCGAAATTGAATTTCGGAGACCTATAAATTAAAGTTGGGGAATGTATATTCACTATGAGAGTCATAATGATTGAGAACACATAATATATTTTATTTGACCCGATAAAATAAAATATATTTAAAACAGTCCGAAAAATACAACTTTCGGGACCAATTGTACACTTCGGAACAAAAGGGGTTGACCTCCCACATGTGTGGGGGCCAACCCACGAATTTTTCCATACAAAGGACAAGAGGTGGGCGGCTGGAAGGGAAAGGAGGAGGTGGGAGGTGTTGGGATTGATTAAGAAAGCATCAAAGGTACATTAATTGGACC